GGCTCTGTGTAAGCTCTGCTCAGCAATAACAAAATCATCTCTGCATTATCAACCCTGTGTTCAGCACAAATCCAAAACACAGCCCCATATGAGCCACTGTGAAGAAAGTTAACTCTACCCCAGCTTAAACCAGTGTAGCTGGGCTGTACATGCCTCACAAAAACTGATGGTAGGAGCCGTACATGGGGAGAACAGCAGTTTAGCACAGGTTTGTCCAAAGGCAGTGCTGCTGCTCTGCATGTCTTGGGCTTTCCCAGAAGGTTATACCAAAATTGGTAACACAAGTGCTTGGGAATTCAGGATTCATATGCCCTGTGCCACCCCACTGTAGTATGTCCTGCTCTTCTGCTTCCTCTATCTCACAAACTTCTCTGTAATACCTGCAGCACCTTTCTCAGGTTTATCATAATCCCTCAAGGCCAAACCTATACATCTTCATGTACCCCTCCTGCATCTGCCATCTCGTTTGATCTGACTGACAGCCAAAGGACAGTCCTAAGCATCACAGTTTAGGGAAGCACATGTGAGCTGGCTGACCAGCTTACCGTCAGCAAAAGCCACTGCCAATTTCTTTTCATCAGGAAAGCAGGACACACATTAGAAGAAATCAGACTATCCAGCAATTCTGACTGGCAGGTCTGATTTGGTATAGAGGCTATTCAGTAATTAGAAAAACTAGTAACTTGTTAGTCTGGATGAAAAGTCCTACAGAGCCCCAGTACTGTACGTGCACCTGTGGCTGTTGCGCCTGAAGCCCTTTGTTCCATCAAAGTCCAGGTTTTGGGGATTCTGAGCCTGAGATCAGGGCTCTTTCCCACCCAGCTGCAGATCAAGCAGCAAATTTAGCTCTCCAGTGCAGAAGATTCAAAGAAAAATATCAACAACACATTGCAGTGGGCTGAGAGAGGCTTAAAGGCTAAAGCTGCTCTAAGACCTGGCACTCATGTCAGGCTGGAAGACAGACTGAATTCAGCCTGAAACAGGGCCACAAATTTCATGCAGCAGATAAAACCTGGACAGTTTCTAGGGTTATTTGTTATGTGATGTCACTGCCAGGGCAGCACCCATTGGGATGGAGGAAGATAGCATGTAAGGGTTCATCTAGTGTTTGCCCACAAATTTAACCAAAGTAGACCGTGTTCACAGCTCCTCCCACCGTGTCCTAAAGAATACCCATAACTTGCCACAGATCCAAACTTTGTCAAAAATATTTAGTAGGACAACTAACTTAGCCTCGAGCTTGGCTGGGGAGGTGCTCCAGCAGAGCAAACTGCATTGTAAGGTAAGACATTAAAATAACAAATGCTAATGTACATCTACTCTACACTGATATTGAAAAGTATCCCTGGTTAGCTTCTTTTCCTTCATTGATTTTTATTCAGGCAACTAATTAATTTAAAATATCCTTCAGGTGGTTTAGTGTTCTGCTTTCAATGAGCAACATTTTCAAAGGTATGTCCCCTTCTCCAGCTGTGCTCAGTCTCTGAAGTGACAAAAAACTCTCCAGCTCAGTCAAGAGAAATTGGGGTGGGGGGTGGAGACAAGACTTGGGCATAAAGAACTTTTGAAGTTTTATATGTGATTAAACTTAAATTAAATTAAGTTCAGTACAGATAGTAGCTACAAACCAGGATTCATGAGCAAGAAAACTATGCAGAGTGGTTGTCACCCATTGTAATCTTGTTTTCTTGAGACAGTTAGTGTGTTTTGTTTCCTGAAGGAAAAAGCACTAAATCTAGCACCAAATTTACTGTTTTGTCAGTAGCACTTGGGTTTATAACAACTCTCAGTAATATTCTAACTGCAGTTTCCTTTCATCTGCTGATATAATATGGCAGGGTCTAACACCTTTTTAGACATGAAAAGACTATCTTGTCTCAAGTAACAGCTGCCATTAGTCTCTCTCACCACTCCATTTCCAAGCATCTTTCTTGATATAAGAGCACAGACCTAAGCCTGTGCAAATTCTCAAAGTTAAATAAACCCCTTCTGAATTTAAGAAATTTCTCTGTTAACTAGCAAAAGATTTGCATCAAATTTTTCCATTTGTTAAGAGGTTCACACATGTGGATTAATACTTCAATAATCTCTGCCAATCAAAAAATTACTTTGGGATATACAGACATTGAGATGTGTTATTTTTTCACATTGTATTTTTTCTAGCTCTCTATGTATATAGTCTATGTAAACAGCATTTATTTTCCTTTCTTGTTGATTCCCCATGGACCTGAAATAGTGAGTTACAATCCTAAAGAATGCTAAATAAGTACTTCCCTTTGTTAAATTATGCTAAACAAATTTGCTGCATTTATGTAAGGTTTAATACTGTTCATAAGTGGAAATAATATTGCTAAGAGAGAACCTATGGCTCTGCTCTGTACCTTTGCAGGAATCATTCCAGCTAAAGGGATGCCAACATCAGGTAAAGCACTCAGGCTGGTACAGTAGTTGTGCAGAAAACCTTTCAGAAAAGTACTTGTAGAACAATGTGCCCTTTATCTGCCCTACATCCACAGCAGGTATATTTTTATTACTTTAGACTAAGCATTCTGATAGAGCCTATTTGGGCTGGCCAGAACAGATGATAAATGAAAATCTATTCAGGGTCATCAGGCTTATGCATGACACTGATTTATTCTCACGGGCAATTTAACATACTCTTGTACAAATATTTCCTGCAGAACAAAGTTGTTACACCCTCTCAATTTATTTAAACACCATTCTCGCGAGCACGAGAGGTTGCAAAGCAGTGAGCACAGTAAAAAGCTCCAACGAAAAATCATCCCTAACCCTTAGATTGAGTAAATTACATAAAGATGAGAAACCAAAACACTCGAAAAACTGCAATTACCCTTCTGTAACAAATCACAAGTTTAATTCAAGCAACAGTCACCCCCAATGATAAATGTTTTTATTTGCTGCAATCCTAAATAGAGAGAGCAACCCACACAGTTGTTTTCACATCCATTGCTGCTTCTAAAGTAGTGGCAGAAAACTTGCACAAAATGAGGATGCACTGCATATGGAAAAAAATGAAAATTTTCTGCTTCTCATGCTTGAACTGTACTTATGAAACCAAATTAATCTGCCCCACTAATCAGCAACATAGTATTTTTTTAATCTGCAGTTCTTAGTGTCTCATTTCTGGTTTCCATCATCCAAACATGAACTTGTCATAATTCTGTCAAAGTATCTTCAGTGAATCCTCCATTAAAGCAGTCATCCCAAGCAGGTTTGGCAAACAAACAAAAATCTCTCCAAAAACTGCTGTGGTTCCCCAGTTCTAAAGAACTCACCTAAACCACAAAAATCCACACATTGGGATGATCCCCCCAACACAACAGCACATTCCCCTACAATGGGAGGAGGCAAAAGTGAGGTCAATCACATGCTGTTGGCATTTTTATTAACGAAAAATCAAACTCTTGATTTCAACTTTCAGTATTCAAAATCATCAGAAAGGAAAAGAATCATACATAAACAATAACAATGTTTTTCCACAAGAAAGTGCTCTGATCTCTCCACTACTGACCCCTGCATAAGGAATGGTTCCCTGCCTATGGCAGGAGGGTTGAAATTAGATCATCTTTAAGGTCCCTTCCAACCCAAATCATTCTATGATGCTATGAATCCCTCCATTTACAATCCTCAGGTGACTGCTTAAGAGCCTCCAGAAAAAACAGACCATCTTCAAAACTGAAAATACATTTCCAATATTTTGGATTTTTGGCTTATTTCCAGAATACATTTCTCATTTGGAAAATCAGCTATAAATAAACTTTCTCCATCTGCCCACAAAAGAAACTAAAGCTACCATTTTGGCTAATTACAGATTATCTACAGACTACCTACTTCTTCCTTAATCTGGAATTTAGCTTCCTGACTTTTAAAGTCTTAGCCTTTATGAAGAAAGAATTGACATTTTCATTAAGGCACAGATATTGTAAATTTCTGCTGTTAACATTATATCTTGGTAAGAGTGGCTCTTCCTTCTGGCTGGTGCATAGAAAAAGTCACATATGCCTAAACGCAGACAGGGAGACACTTAATAAGCCATTGAAGGCAACTTCTTTTGGTGTATGAACAGAGATTGCTTCTATATTAAAGAGGTAGGAAAAGCACCTTTAAAACTATAATTGTGCTCAAGTTCCCCATTTAAAAACAAACATTTACATGATATTTTTCAAAGAATCTGCAATATTGTAATTAGAGTTTCCACAACTTAACTTTCATTCTATTCTAAGTAGAAGTGAGCGTTAGATCGGATTTCATATATTTCAGAAATAAAATGGCCTAAATTATAAAAGTCTGATTAACAAACAGCCATCAAATTTCCTTAGATATTAGATATGACAGCTACAAAACCAGAATAACTTCACATGGCTTATTCCATTCTTTGGAAGATGCACACACTCTAAAAGAACAGCCTAGTACAGGGCATGGCAGATATAAATTCAGCTACCCTGCAAGGTACATCTGCTGTGTGTCTCTATCTGGTTCCTTCAGAGGTTGCCACCAGAACCAGAGTCCCAGGATTTGAAAACCCCCTGAAAACTTGCAAAAACTGAGTTAGCAGAGCAAAATGGAAAATTTCAGTTGAAAAGAGCTGCATCACTTTGTCTTATAAAGAATATCCAACAGCACTGTAGGCACTATTTTAGTAAGCCTGTTTTTATAAGAGAGACTAATAGCTATACACAAAATCCTCACAATTGGCTGGGAAAAAACCACTTATTTCATAAATAAATCTCCCTACTTCCTTGCATACTGTATCCTGATGCGCATATATCAAGTTCAGAATGTAACCCAAAGTCCAGAATAACTGGCACTTGCCTATACAAATGTTTTACTAAAATTTTAGTTTCAAAATTCAGCTCTAGTAAAAGTACTTCTTACTCATCAAAATTATGTCCACATAAAACTGATAAAGCATACTGCAGAAAGAACTCTGAGTTGACAGTTCATAGTTAATTGTTATCATAATCTATTTTATGGAGATCCTAATTGAGTTTCATTCTTCCTTTTAGTCTTTCGGACAGGGGCAGGGGACTGTCTGCCCATGTGTAAGTCAGAGCAGCACTTCTGCCTTGCTGCACAGGATCAGAACTCAGCCTCTCAAGAGGTTGCTCTGGACTCGGGGAACAATTAACTTCAACAGCAGAGGATGGTTCTGGAGATACCTCCAATGAGAAGCTATTAACAGCTTTCTCTAAATTGGTTGTTTTCTCCTTCCTTTCAATTATAAGGGCTGAGTCACTGTTTGTCCTTTTGCTAGTAACTCCACTACCCTTTTTCTTTGTAAAACATTTTTTAAACTGACCAGGGTTTGGTTGCCTTTTCTGCTGCTTACAAATCAGGTTTTTATTCATGTTCCCATCATCACTGTCTTCACTAGAAAAACATCTGTTTTGACACACACTCTTTTTAGAAGAAGTTTTCCTAGTAGTTTCAATACAAGCTTTTTTAATGTGACAGCCAGTTGCACCTGCTGGCTTTTGAGACACTGGAAGAATTTCACACCCAGGACGCAGTGTCTCTGTTGTCTGCCCACAGAGGGTGAGAGATCTTGAACCACTTATATTATGACCTTTTTGTACCCATTCAGCCACGATGCCAGCTTTTTTGTACTGATCTTGATAGATGTGTACACTGGATTCACTTGCATAGTTTTCTGATAGCACATTTTTACTTTCCTGCATTACTTTATTTACCTGACACGAGGAAGAGACATAATTTTTATCAGGATTCAACATTTCTTTTGCTTGTTTAAAACATTTCAAAGACCCCAGTTGCATTACATCTTCAGACAACAAAGGCTGTGATGGAATGGAACCCTTCTCAAGTATTTGCTTGCTAGACCACTCCTGAAGTTGCCCTATAGCATCATTTGAAACCAAAGCATCTGCACTATCACGATGTTTATCAGACTGTGTGACATCAGAACATTCTGAGCTACTTCCTACTGTCTCATGATCTAGTGGATGCAAAGGTTTTATGCATGTAGTTAAATCAGCTGCTGGATCATGGTCATCACCTCCATGGGCTGCTGAAGCACTGAAGGTTCCTTTCCCATGAATACTGCTCAGTTGTAGGCCAGCTGTTACAGAGGAAGATGATGATATCCCTGAATATTCAGTACATTGTGAGGGCAACACAGACGAGTCAGCCAATGCACTCTGTAAGAGTGAGCAAGGTGATGCAGGCAGAGGAAGAGCAGCTGCTGATGCTGGAATCTGAACAGCTGTTATGCACGAAGCTGCAGCTAATGCTACATCTTTTGACTCAGTACTTCTCTGCTGTATCTGATCTTCTGGGGGAGGTTTTTTATATGACCTGGAGTGTTGCACAGCAAGAATTTCACATGTAGATTTTAAATCCATTTGAGAAAGAAGATTGCTAACTTCATCACAAGCATTTGATAATTCCTTTTCTTTTGGTCTGTCTTTCCTGTCTGGAAAAAAAAAATAAAAAGGGCACTTAAAATGGCATATAAACCACAGCTCAGAGTTCCTAGTGCTAAAGTATAAAATAGTAGGATTAACACACAGTCCCTGCAAGGTATAACAACCTGTTCTTGACAAAACATGATACTGCTCAACAGTGGGAGAAATATTTCTTGCTTTTGCTTCTTGTATTCTGGCAAGACACTAAGTGCATAACAAACAAGCTTTTTGACTTACTTTTCTTTTTCTTCTGATGAACTTGTGATTTTTCCACTTGATAAAGGGCAACAACTTCAGGATAAGCAGCCTGAAACAGAGACTCCTCTTCTACTGTAACTACAAATGACTCCACAGGCTCATCTTCTGGATCAACATAATGTTCTGAAAAATCAATGAATGTACTTTACCCATGTATACACACACATATCAAAGTAGGGAATAAAACACCAAAGAATTAAAAAAGGTCAACAGTACAATATTTGAGATTTAGTTACCAGTAAATTCTTTTCTTTCTGCCAGTCTCATGGCACAAAAGGGCACACTACAGGAAGAGTCTGGCAGCATAGAAAATTTTCTAGATAGTAAACACTCACAGCTCTGGGTATTCAGTGAATTAAGGTTTGAAATACACAGTTCAGGTCTTATTAACATGTACTACAAAAAGTACCTGAAGATCAAGTCCCTTGCTTTCTAGGTAGACTTTTTTCTCTTTAAAACATTACTTTTACTTTCAGGGTATGTAAAATTTAATGCACATTTTCTATTGCTTCCACAGAACAGTTTCCAATCTTGCCCATATTTCATTGCCTTAGAGTGTTGTCAAACTCTTCTCCTCTTTAATACTTTTGTCATTTTCTATGGACTGTTTTGTTCCACAATATACATAGAAACCAGACCCACCTGGTTTTTGCCACTCAATTTCAAAACAAGGAATTCCATTTTTAGTACGTGTCTTGACAACCCTGTAAGAACAAAAAGCCCATTAAATAACTTTTAAAAGTAAATTAGATAAAAACTCAGCTAAAAATATTTCAGTACTCTACCTTCTAGTGATTCCAAGGAAAAACTCTTCTTGGAATAGTGAAATTACTACACCTTTTAAAAATACACTACTCTGTATAAGCTATACAGTAAAATTTGGGGTGTAGATTTGAGTACTGAAATACTTTTTTTTTGCTTTTTAATGACCCAGCTCAGAAGAGCATTTACACAAAATAAAAAAGCTATTCTGCAACAGACAAACATAAGGCAGACTCCTTCCAACATCAGTTTGATATCTTCAGCTGACCCGCCTGAAAGGCCAGACCTGCTTGACCCACTTGGTATCCTTCTATGACAGGGTGACCTGCTTAGTGGATGAACAAAAGCTGTGGATGTTGTCCACCTAGGCTTTAGTAAAGCCTTTGACACAGTTTCCCACAGCATTCTCCTGGAGAAACTGGCTAGTCATGGCTCAGATGGGTGTAGTCAGGATGGCCAGGCCCAGAGAGTGTTGGGAATGGAGTTACATCCAGGTGGTGGCTGGTCACTAATGGTGTTCTCCAGGGATCAGTATTGGGACCAGTTCTGATCTGGACAACAAGTGTGTTCTTAGTCAGTTTACAGATGACACAAGCTAGGCAGGAATGTTGATCTGCTGGAGGGCAGGAAGGCTCTGCAGAGAGATCTGGACAGGCTGGATCGACAGGCCAAGGCCAGTTGTATGCTGTCCAACAAACTAAAGTGCCAGGTCCTGCACTTGGGTCACAACAACTGCATGCACTGCTATAGGCTTGGGGCAGAGGCTGGAAAGCTGCCTAGAGTAAAAGGACCTGGGGCTCCTGGTCTACAGCAGCCAAACATGAGCCAGCAGTGTGCCCAGGTGGCCAAGAAGTTCAATGGCATCCTGGCTTGTGTCAGCAATAGTATGGCCAGCAGGACCAGGGCAGTGATTATCCCTTTATATTCAGCACTAGTGAGGCCACATCTTGAGTCCTGTGCTCAGTTTTGGGCCCCTCACTACAAGAGGTGCTGGAGCTTGTCCAGAGAAGGGCAATGGAGCTGGAGAAGGGTCTGAAGCATGAGTCTTATGAGGAGCATCTGAGGGAGCTGGGGGTGTTTAGTCTACAGAAAAGCAGGCTTGGGGGGAGGGACCTTATTGCTCTATGGCTACCTGAAAGGAGGTTGTAGGGAGATGAGCATCAGTCTCTTTCACCAAGTAACATGGGATAGGGACAGAGCAAATAACCTCATGTTGCCCCAGGGAAGGTGTAGATTGGCTGTTGGGAAAAAGGCCTTCACTGAAAATGTCGTCGAACACTGCAACAGGCTGCCCAGGCAAGCAGTTGAGTCATCATCCCTGGAGGTATTTAATTTAAAAGATGTATAGATGTGGCACTGAGGAACATGGTTTAGTGGTAGACTTGGCAGTGTTGGGTTAATGGTTAGATTTGATGATCTCAGATGTCTTCTCCAGCCTAAATGATTCTATGATTTTAAGACAGTAATGCCAGAGGAGACTGCTTCCATAATGGATGGCAATTTTCCAAATGGCCAGACAAGGCCATTCACCTTTTGCATGAGAGCATGAGGGAAGATAAACATTAACTAAGCAGGGACAGTCTGTCACTATGAGATTTTTCTATAAACATTGTCTAAACCCTGACCTTGCTGAATCATTACTGCATTTTTAAACACTTGTTAACAAAAGAAATCTAGAGCACACACAGTCTTTTAAATGCTTGAAACATTAGAAAGTGTTATAAGCAGAGCAGGTCAATGAATTCATTCATTGAGGCAAATGCTGACAATTTATGTTGCCACTCTATTTAAAAAGCATCCCCCAAACAGTCTCTCCATCCTTTTGAAAGACAACAGTGAATATAACAACTTTTTTGCAAGTAATAATTTAAGACTATGACACATCAACCCAGAAGAGATACTATCACACTGTTAATGATTGTCCTCCTGTCCCCTAAAATTGATGTCTAAAAATCTTGACCAGCATCTAGGAACATGGCAAAATTACTAACCTTCTTGCGACACAAGAATTAGGGGGGCAGGGGGAATTTGGGTTTCATTTGGGAAATAAAACCATCAGATAAAGTTAAAACTAAGTCACAATTCCCTTCCCACAGTGAAGTTCAGATTTGCCAACAGACACTGTAGATTCTAGAAGTTATCCCAAGTTTAAGAAAACATTAGATCATTAAAACAATAAAATATTTTGAGAACTGATAGAACAAGAAGATACTAATTCTGTCTCAGAAAACCACTGAGTAACAGAAACCTGGATGGTGGGAAACTATTCTGGGGGCAAGTAGTTACATGTTTAGCTTGCTTTTTTTCCTCCCTGCAGATTAATTTTTAGTAACAGGATATTTGGTCATTTTTACATTCATGAAAGCAGCAGTCCTGAATAAAAAGTAGTTTTGAGATGGGGTAGCAAAATAGAACCATAAGCCAATGATTTCATCAGACACATAGTACAAGGACAGTTGATAGGTCTATTAAGAAATCAGAGACCATGACTGAACCTGCAGATGTTAATTTCTAAGCCTAGGCTCTTATTTTGAACCACAGAAGTCAATTAAACTTCTGCTAAGTACCTGAGCAGGGGATCAAACCAGTAATGCTAAATCTCATGTGCAAATCCAAGGAAACAGAACAGAAAGTAAGCATGGGAAAAAGCAGGCACTGCCAGTTAGGCTGAAAGGAAACTGCTCTTGGTATTACTTTGTGCAGCACTAGTATAAAAATTGGTGCAAAATAAGCACAAAGCTTGAAATAAAGATGAGAGAAAACCATTTTATATCTGTAAAAAAAGGAAAAACCCCATGATTTTTATCTGGCAGCAGAAGCAAACATATTACGTTCAAGGCATCAAGCTACATTACCGTATTGCCTGCAATTGTTTGGAGTCAATGTATCCAGATTTTCTCTGGATCATATCATAACGTGTCAATAGTGCTAAAAGCTTCTTACAAGCATAATCTTTGGTCCATTCCATCTTCTCTGAAGCAAATATCTGTTAGTATAAAAAAACCAAACAACCAAACTTGAGATCTTTCTTTATTCTGATAGATACCATGCTTTGGAAGCTATGTAGTCCTGTACACAGGACTAAATACTTGAAATATATAGGATACTTGAATACCTAAGATGCATTTATATGTCAGCCTAATGTTATCTCACTGCCAAGTGAGGGAACAGTCACACCTAAAAGGGCAGATTCATAAGCTGTCAATGACCAGCCATAGGAACAGCTGGGTAGTGGCAGCAGAAGGGGTAAGACAGTTGTTAAACACATCTTCATATTCAGATCAGCTATGTAAGGAACTCTGAATATCAAGTAAAAATCCTTCTTAGAAAACAATGCTAACATGCATATGTTAACACACACACACCCCTCCACCCCCTCATCTAATAAAAATGAAAACAATGGGAAGTGACCTTTTTTCTGAGTTATCTTTCTTCCACTTTCCTACATACAACTGATGTTTTTTACAGCAACTGATGTTTTTTCGGTCTTCAATTTTAGGCTTTCAAAAACAATGAGGTACAGTAAGATGTTATAACAACATTCTTTAATTCTTACTTCCAGTAACATTACCAACAAAGACCAAAATTAGCACAGATGCTTTTTTAGTAATAAAGACAGAGCTGAATATCCAGTATTTTTTTTTATATACCTGAAAGGACAATAAATTTGGCCTTCGATATTCTTTTATGTTGATCAATTTATTCTTGTTTACAAGAAATTCTTGGATAACCTTGAGACACAACAAAAAAGAGGCAGTTTAAGAAAGGGCAGAAAATTAAAATTTCAATTACTTGATTAAAAAAATGAATATTTAAATAGGTTTGTTTGTTACCTCAGAGAATGGAAAGCCCTCACAACTCTTAGCTTTTCTGCAGAAGAAATAAATGAGTTAGGAACTGAATACAAATGGAAAAATGTATAATTTAAGTGCTCACCCTGCATATGAACACAGGGAAAAGCAGTTCAATTTTCAAGACATTCTTACTTTCTGATATTGTCCTCCACTGCACTTGCTTCTTTCATGCGCTCTAACTGATGCCATTCACAAGGGCAGCAGCGTGTGGAGTCACTGGGACTGCAGTGTCGTGTGCTTTCACAGAACTTACATCCACTGTGCTCATGTTCCTTGTAAGATCCTACAGAAACGGATACACATGTGAGGAAAAGGGGTTTTCAACATCGCAAAAAATATAAAAAGCCATATTACAAACACAAAGCTCAGAACACCTATGAATGTGACATGTATAGCAGCTGTAAGCAGACCTGAGTGCATTAGCTGCATTTAAGTATATATAGTAAAAACTGACAAATGTATGAAAGCTTCTATTTTCCTTTCCCCACCTGCAACAGTTTCAGACCTTATGCTGAAAATTTTATTACCTAAAACTACAGAAATAGTGCATGACAACCTGGTAAACTTACACAAGCAACATATTTGAAAGAAGCTTTTCCTTAACCAAATGATGGGTTTGAACAAGTTCATTAATCAAAGATGCTACCAAAATAAAGGTCCTTAATCTTAAATTCTTTCTAAGAAAACACTGCAGGAAAACCCATCAATTTTATTATTTAGCCCTCTTGATGCAGGACCATTTGGGCGACTAGAAAATGGCATACTTCCTTTACTGGTAATGTTAAAAAGGCAATGTCTGGCATCACACAACAGCATTGGGATAACATTCCAGCTGCTGTCAACTAATTTCAAATTTGAAGAACAGTAGTCCCAAACCTTAAAAGTATATGTACTTGATTGGGACTAGATGATCTTTAAGGTCCACTGCAACTCCTTCACATTCTATGATATATAAAGGTATATATATACAATACTAAAAGTGTGAAGATAGTCCAGAAGCTGAGAAGAAAAACATTTTTTAATGCTAGCAATAATAAAACCCCAAAACCCAATCAAACAAAAAAACCCCATCATCTCCCCCCAGAACAAAAAGTAAACAATTAGGCCAAAAATTAAATTCAGCACTTTTCACACTGACCTGGATGATGGCACTCAGAACAGTGAATTACCCTTTTAACAACCAAAAGTGGATTATTATCACACTGAAATTGTTCTTTCCATTGCTCAAACCTAAAAGGATATTAAAAGATCAAGATATATATTTTAACTTTCACACTTAAAACACTGAAAAATACTCTTCTTATACTTCACAGACATCTATTCAAAACAATTTTCCAACCTATGAAACAGACTTTTTTACAATCCATTATATGATTGTTGGATTTCTACTACTGACACACATTATGACAACAAACGTAGAAAGCACTTGGTATCTCAAATCCTGATCCACAACCCAATTAAAAATCAGCAAGTCTCATCAGTCCCTATGATTTTCTTTCCAATAGATCAACATATACCTTCTAGCTCAAGTGCTAGGAGTCAGCTGATGTTTAAAACAATTGAGAAGCTTGCTAAATGAATTTGGTGTTTTGCTAGGCAAACGTAAGGTAAAGAACATGGTATTCCCATGCTTCCTCCCTCTGGCCCACCTCGATCAATGAAAGACTTACAAAGATGTTATAGAATCACAGAATGGTCAGTTTGGAAGGGACCATAGTGGGTCATCTGGTCCAACCTCCCTGCCCAAGCAGGCTCATCCCAGAGCACATAGCACAGAATTGCACCCAGACAGTTCTTGAATATCTCCAGTGATGGAAACTCCACAGCCTCTCTGGGCAATCTGTTCCAGTGTGTGGTCACTCATATACAGTGAAGTTCTTCCTCATATTCAGGTGGAACTTCCTGTGCCTCAGTTTCTGCCTGTTGCCTCTTGCCCTATTGCTTGTCACCACCAAACAGGGCCTGGCTCCATCCTCTTGACACCCTCTCTTCAGATACGTATAGACATTAATGAGGTCCCATCTCGATCATCTCTACTCAAGGCTGAACAGGCCCAGCTCCTTCAGCCTTTCCTTGTAAGAGACTGTCTTGGAACTGAAGTACATACTATTAAGCCTTTGAATAAATAAAGCACTTACATAAATTTCCATTTTACCTTTGCAGTAAGTTTTGACCTTGCAGAGTCTCAATTAACTTTAAAGCTTTTTCCTTCCCAACTCCTGGGACCCCCTATAGAGACAGAAATATGAAAGTGATCCCAGACGTTGAAAATAAATGGACAAAAATATATTTGCCCAAGTTTTAAGGGCAGAGGTGACAGATGATAGCTGTACTGCCACTGTAACACACGAGTTGCATAAAATGTTTGTATGCAGAACAGCACCTCAGAAAAAACAAGACATTACAAAGCATCTTCACAAACAATGGAGTTCTCACACCTTGCTTCAATATAATCAACATCGAAACTTTTCTCTTCACCTCCATTATAGAAGAGGTTTGCAGTAATACGTAACGGTTCGAGGAAGACTGATGTTCATGAAGCATTTTGATTACCTTTAACCTTCCACAAATAAAATTTAAATTGACTTACTAAGCATCTTCTTCAACTAGATCACAGTAACGGTGCACTGCACACAGCTTTGTTAGCATTCACATCTCCCTTGATACAGTTTTATGTTTTTCAAGACAGTATAAGTGTCTAATAAAAAAAAATTAAATTGCTTACCTTTGGAAGGTAATCACAACCCAGAAGAATAGCTAGCCCAATCAAAGACTCCCTGTCACAACCAAGTTTCTCCTTAATAGAGGACATAGTGTAACAGTCGAGATGTGGATCCTGCTAGAGAAATTTATTGCACAATATTTCTGTTACATCAGGGAAGGAACTGCCCTGAGTCATGTTCACTTGTGATTGCTTATCCACCTATTCACCCAAACCTGAAGGAAACAGGTCTATCCCATAAGAGGAATCTAATAGCACAGAAACAAATGGCAATTAAAGTTTGTAATGTAATGCATGGACACCATGCATTACAACTACAATTCTGGAATTTCAAATTTTAAGTATGGGCATCAGCTGATGAAAGAAACTAAAATAAAGCCAAGTGGTGTTTTTATTGTTTGCTACCTATGGAAAAAACGTAGCAAAACTAACATTGAGACCTAGTGGCTGTGCAAGTCATCTCACGAACTGCAGTTTTTAAAATATGCGTAAACATTTTAAGGTGGTACTTGAATAAAAAAAAAAAAAGAAAAAGAAAAAATGATGTTACCTAGCATGTTAGACATGAGCTAAAGGAACATTTGAAGCTTTGAAGGCTAGAGAGACTCAAACACGACATGAAATCCAGATTAACATGAATCAAAACATAGGACACTGCTCTCTTTCTCAGAAAAGACAGGAAAATTCCCACACAAGCCAACAACCCAAAGCAATCCATTTCTCTAGAAGAGATGCTCCTGGCAGACACATGTTTACATAAATTATTTTTTTATGCTGACTTTTATATGTAACAACGTACACCTGAAAGCCTGAGCTTGCCTTCATTGTTGGTGATAAATAGCAAGGAAGTTGAATGAAAGAAAATAAGCAGGTCAAGGAAGAACTCAAACATGCTGTCTCATCAAAGCAAATAATCTTTCGCTAAGGAAGGATATTGAGGTGCTGGAGTGGGTCCAGAGAAGAGCAATGAGGCTGGTGAAGGGACTCGAGCACAAGTGCTATGAGGAGAGGCTGAGGGAGCTGGGATTGTTTAGCCTGGAGAAGAAGAGGCTCTTATAACCCTCTACAACTCCCTGAAAGGAGGTTGGCGTCAGGTGGGGGTTGGTCTCTTCTCCCAGGCAGCCAGCAGTAGGACAAGAGGGCACAGACTCAAGCTCTGCCAGGGTAAGTTTAGGTTGGATATTAGGAAGAGATTTTTTACAGAGAGAGTAATCAGGCATTGGAATGTGCTGCCCGGGAAGATGAGACTGGATGTGGCACTTAGTGCCATGGTCTAGTAACCACAGTAGGGTTGGACTCAATGGTCTTTGAGGTCTCTTCCAACCCAGTTGATTCTATGACTCTATGATTATAAATTACAGAAACTTGGGGTTGTCTTTCACTAGTTCTGGATAATTGTATTCTTAACAAATGAACAACTCAAGGTCATAAAATGATTTGGGGTTTTTGCACGATCGCAACAATTGATTATGGTACAGATGGACAAATCCCTATTCTATTCATGTTACATTAGGACTAATAGTATTAATTATAAGTATATTTATAATATGCAAGTGTGTGAACACTGACATTAGATGCAGGAGGTTGACCACTCCCATGTGCCCTAAAGGTAAATTTATAACAAGCAATTATTTCTCTCAACTTCCTCACTGTAGAAGAAAGGGGAAAAAGAAGTTTGCTTCTTAGCTTTATATGACACATCACAGGGCACTACAAACACAGATAATATTACCCTAAGTGGGTTTTAAGTCAGTAGTTTTGTTCTTACATCCAATACACTAATTGCCAAAACCAAAGAAAATGTTCCTGTCTTAAACATACTATTTTAAACAAACCCAACTACTAGAGGGTAAGTGCAATAAGATCTAAGTAATTTTTTCAAGTCCCTTCTTTCTATTTACATTTCTGGAAAAAGTCTAAACAGAGGTGGGAACGGGATGAGGTACATTACCTTAGCATTCATGGCAAAGTTCCTATAAACTGTTTGAGCTCCATATAAGAAAGCATCTCCATCATTGGTAATGCAGCCATCAACATGTCCTTTTGCATTTAAGTAGGCACACATTGCCTCTGCTTCCCCAGCTGCTTGAACCCAAGGAACACCTAAACACTCCAGCAGTTCAAGACACTAAAAGAAGGAACCCAAAAGGAAAGAGATTGAATGCTGAGTCACTAATTCACTTATTAGCATGCATTTTCTCGGACACAAGTGCACATAAAAACTGCTGCTGTTGCACTGCCTGTAGAACACTACATCAATACAAGCACTGCTTTAGCAAAAATAGGGTTTACTCTAACAGTGAAAAGAAACATCCAACAAAGAGCTAAGTATTAATTACAGAACTTGAACACAGCATGATTAATGGTCACTTCTTCACAAAAATCTTAACACTTCAAAGAGATATTTAGGATGTTTGCAAAAGAAGAGTAACAAAGGAGTATTTATCTCTGTGAAGCAATGATGTTTACCCAAGCAGTAATACTGAGCTAGCACAGACATCTTCCAAGAGGTGCCAGAATCCCTGAAGATATCAAGCATCACAGTACAATGCTGTCAGCCTACCAAGACTGAAGCACAGTCTAAGACATACTGATACGTAATCATATATATACTTCTCACAAATTTCAGAGAAAGTAATTTATTTTAGAATTTAAGAATAAAACATGAATTGCTATGTACAATCTACTGAACCCACAAGTGTCCATAAATTCTATTTCATAAAATTTTGAATAGACAAAAATGGTTTCATTTCATGTCCATCTTCTGCAACAATGAAGAAAATTACTGAATAGGTGGTCTTTGCAACCAGAGTTGTCTCAATAATTTATACCAAGACAACTACACAATCTTCCTTTTACCCTAATTCCTTAGGTTTCCAATAAGTGTATCCTTTTAGCTATACAGCTAGTTTACCAAATCATAGACCTACGTTACAAAACCTAGCGATTGGGTATACTCCTTATGTTTTTATTTTTTATATTATTACAAAAACACACTAGCTTTGTTTATGTAGGTACAGGACACACTCTTGTTTTCAGTATATTCCAATCCAGGGGGAGGAATAAAAAGAAGCATCAATACTAACACTGCAAAAGAATAACAAAGTTCAATTTCTGTAATAAACACTCAGTTATGGCTGTCACTCACTACAGCATAACATGCAAGGGGACACATCAAATAAGAAAATTATTCTAACTGACACTGTCCATCTAGTACAACAGTTAAGAGACGCTGTAACGCCCAACTTCAAAGGTGTGTGTTCCCTCAAGTCTCAAAATAGTGTTTAAATGTCTCGTATAAAATACTACTAATCATTTCATTGTGTATAAAACTATTAATTCTTTCAAGTATTTAATTTGGTTAAGATTTTTTCCTATCACATTAAAAACACTGCAACACAATCCTCAATTACTCACCTCTTTTAACATGGCTTTAAATGAAGATCTCCCTGTTCTTTCAGCTCCAACTTTCTTCGAAGGTCCATAGCGCATCTCATTCCTCTTACTCATGGTCTCTGCTTTCAACCTGGGGGCCTCTCCTTCCATGACAAACACGAGTTTAATGTCCATTGACGTGAAGCAAGACAACCGAAAAAATAGGTTTCTGCAATAAAGCAAAGTGTTCCATAAGCTGTATCATTACTGAAGCCTGAGTTCTTCAGAGGTTTTCCTTATACCCCTTAGCCTACCTCAAGCACAATCTTATCATTCTTTCCACCTCTTATGATTCTCTCACCCCCCAAGCTAACAAACCTTTTCTCTATGTCCCAGTCTTTGGGTGAAGTTGTTATACTATGGAATTACAACAGCAATACCACATTGTAAGGGACCTTTAAGAAATGTCTGTTTGACATTGCCTGGCCTTGATGGCTTGTTGTGGGGCAAAGGCATGGCTGATTGCCTCAAAGCTTGCTGAGACACGGGATGCCTCTCCTCTGGCCAATCCTCCAGCTGCCCAGACCAGGAGGCACCATTGTCCAAATCACTTCCAGCTGCTGGGAATTGCTCAGCTTCAGGGAAACTGACCAATCTGTGCTCTGACAGGGCCCTATAAAAAGGACCAGCATCCAGAGCATGGCAGATACTGACCACCAAAGAAAAGACGACTGTGGCTCATCAGAACACTGATAGACTTACGGAGGCGACTATCTCTGTTTCTGCGTGACTATGGATTTGTCCAAATCACTTCCAGCTGCTGGGAATTGCTCAGCTTCAGGGAAACTGACCAATCTGTGCTCTGACAGGGCCCTATAAAAAGGACCAGCATCCAGAGCATGGCAGATACTGACCACCAAAGAAAAGACGACTGTGGCTCATCAGAACACTGATAGACTTACGGAGGCGACTATCTCTGTTTCTGCGTGACTATGGATCATCGGAACATTGCTGCATCCTATGGTGGTGACTCTCTCTGCTTTGGCATCTCAAACCTTGCTTGCTTTCCCCTTTTCTGTTTCTAACTTTCTAATCACCCCTTCTCTCCCACTTGTGTGACCAATAATGTCATCTCATTGCCTAACAGTATTTTGTCCTTGCTTGTGTCTTAATTCACATTGAGGTAATCGATCGAACACTCATGAGTCTAATCGGACTAGGACACACATAAGGACAAGAAAGACCTTTTTGGGGTGTAAAGATGTAAGCAAATATAAAAGGCTAAATAAAAACCTCAACATTCAATATCCAAAGTCTGCTTCCAAACATGTACCCCCATTGATTCTTTTACACCAATAGAAAGGCTAGAGCATGCATGACTCTCAGCATACTCTGAACTAACTAGCAATCAAACTACTGAGACAAACAGTTGAAACTCCCATACTACCTCTCATCACACAGCCTCAGAAATACAGGGTATTAGCACATTGAATTGTGTTCCTTGATAATCCGCATATCACACGGTGCTACACCACAGCAAGACAAACATGGTTCTGCTTACATCCATCTCATCCTTACCCATAGTCGAGGCCCCAAGACAAAGTAAGTTGGGCCCAAGAACTTCTGTTTGCACCTGAGCATTAAGCTGAATTCAGCCAGTATGACCGAGTCTTCATGTCAAACCCTTTATGTATATAGCACAAGCGATAACCAAATCAAAACACCAGTCATGTGAATTTCAGAGATAGTCTTATATTTGGAGTAAGTATCATACTTAAATTATACAGCTCCAAGACTCCTGGTTACACTAATTTATAATGGATACTATACCTCAGATGTGGCTTGGTAACTACTCCAATCATGTTTTTAACACTCTGTGCTTCACAAACCCACAAACTTAAGTCAACAGCAAGTGTTTTTCCTTTGAGACTGCTCAGGTTGACAGGTTGCTTCACAGGCTCAAGGATTTGCCACAGATTAGTAACTCCCATTGTTCTAGCTTCTTTCTTGTCAGCACCAAGGTTTTAGCTGTGAAGACCAAACAAAACAAAATACTTTCAGAATATAACATTTAGTATAATGAATGTGAGGTTCAGAAAATATTTTGTCATTACCAGTTCTATTTTTATGAGCTGTAAGGCAATCAGATCTTCTATGTGTGTAGTGACTTCAGTTCACAGGTGGTTTATTACTAAATACCTTATCTGGACTGTACATTTTCATTACTAATAAGCTGAACATAAATAAAAAGAAACTCAGTTGAGGAAAAGAAAACCATAAAACTTATTCGTTCCCAAATTTCATGTCTCCCTTATATTAACACAATCCAAGCCTTATTCAAAAACAAAAAACCCCCACAACACCTCAAGGGAATTACTTCCTGACTTACATTACATTCCTGGTAGGAATGAAGTTAAAAGTTTTCTGTTCAAATAGAAGTATCTTGAAGCCACATGAGGAATAATGAAAACATATACTTAGGGAGTATATTTTCCTCCGTTGAAAAGAAGGGAAAACAAGGAGGAGGGAAAACGAGAGCCCATAACACGTTTATAACAACACTTCCTCTCGGCGCCACCGAGAGGTCAGGTCACTTTAACCGTTCGGTCAGAAAGGGTCGAAGCCCACGGGACGGATGGGACACACTGGCACAGCTCTGCCAACAAACCCGCGCCTGTGCAGCACCGCAGCGAGACGCTCCAGCATTTACACCGCTCCTCGGCCTCCGGCGGACGCGAACCGCAGGACGAAACCAAAGCCGAGAGCTCAGTGCGCGGGCTCACCCGAACTCCCTCCCCGCCCGCAGCGTTTGAAGCTCCCGCCCTGCG